GTATAGATGAGTACTGATGGCAGGTTCTTCAGGTGTTCAGGTCTGACCTTGCCTGGGCCGGGTGCTGTTGGCTTCTTTACAGACAAAATGGCGTGTTGGATTTCGGAAGGGAGAACATTGGGAACCACATATCCATCCTGTGGAATTTGGTATGTGGGCAGGTGGACGTGGCTATTGGAGAGATCCGAGTAGAAGTCATAAATAATCTTCTCCATTGCCCTTCTGGAAGATGTGATAGATCATCACGATGTCGGAGGGCAGTCATCTCTGCCTTGCAGTTGGCAAAGGACAGGCGGGCGTTGTGAATGCTTTTACTGGCTTCTGCCACACCTGCCAGCACTGCTGCTCTTCTCTCCTTGAGGTTTTCCTTTATTGCTTTGCACTGCTTTGCGAGCTCAGACGTTTGCTTGCAGTTGTCAGAGGCTTGCACTAAGCCACATTGGTGAATGAGCTTAAGAGTTTTCGAAGACAGGCGTCTTTTTGTGCCTATCTCTCGGCGTTCCTCGTGCAATCACGGAGGTGCTGAACCAGTCAATTGTATTCTTCATCAGTGTTGTCAATGACAGCATCTTCCCATGTTGCAGCAATAGTGCCAAAGACCTCCCAGTTGGTAGTCGTTCTGGGAGCTCTCTTCTTAAACTTTGCAGCCCTTTCTCCCCACTCCGTGAAGTACAATTTTGCACAAAGGAGATAGTGGTCTGGTCCCGTTTGGAATTTTGGGACAACAGCTACATCAGTCAGGCAAAACTGGCAATTGAATATGATGTGGTCAATTTTGTTGTGGAACTGTCCACCAGGAAACTCCCATATCCAACCTTTAGATTTGGCCTTCTGGAACTGTGAGTTACCATGGATGGTCTTGGTCAACATGATGAACTCAGATAGTCTCTCACCCTGTTTGTTCCATTCTAGGCCTTGGGTCCCAATGTGGAGTTCTTCGGCTGATCTTCTCGGTCCTATCTTGACATTAAAATCACCGACAATGATCTTGTAGAAGGTGTGGTCTTCTTTATGGAACTTCTCCAGTTCCATGTAGAATTTCTCAATTTCTCCTTCATCATAATTGGACGTTGGTGCATAGACAACGAAGATAGAAACTGTCAGCAGTGAGCCACATCTATTCAAGTGTAATCGTCGGATTTGAGTTGTTAGGCATTCAAATGAATCAATGTTTATGGCCAAGTTCGTGTTGACAAGGGCACTCACACCACCACCGACGCCTCTTTTGTCACATGTTCTGAGGAAGAGTTCTTCTCCAGTGTTGAGAATGGCGTGATGTGATCGATGACTTCTTGTCTCAGTTAGACCAATGATGTCATACTTGATCTTTTGCTCTTGTACCATCGGGTCCTCAATGGATGCCTCCGATGCCAGTGTACGTGCATTGAAAGTAGACAGTCATTTTTTTTTTTAATTTTTGAATCACCTTGAGATAGTCACAAGCTTTCATGTTTGGGTTACAATTACACAATGAACAAACACCTATCCCTCCACCAGAGCACATTCCCCACCACCAATATCCCAGTATACCCCTCTTTCCCACCCTCCCCTGCCTCCATGGCAGACATGATTCCCCATAATCTCTACTTTTGGGCATTATGGTTTGCAATACAGACCCTGAGAGGTTATCGTGTTTGGTCCTTAATCTACTTTCTGCACACATCTCCCACATGACAAATTCATCCAGCCATCTTTTTCTTAGTGATCCCTTCTCTATTCCACCTGTCTTCTCCCCTTTGCTCATGGGGCAGGCTTCCAGCTATGGAGCAATCTTCCTGGCCCGTGTATCTACTATCCTTAGGTGTCAGCCTCATGCTATGCTGTCATATACTCCACAAATGAGTGCAGTCCTTCTGTCTGTCCCTCTCTTTCTGACTCATTTCACTTAGCATTATACTCTCCATGTCTATCCATTTATAAGCAAAGTTCATGACTTATCTCTCCTGACAGTTGCATGGTATTTCATTGTGTAGATGTACCAAAGTTTCTTTAACCAGTCAGTCATCTATTCTAGGGCACTTGAGTTGTTTCCAGATTTTGGCAATTGTGAACAGTGCTATAATGAACATAGTTATAGATGTCATTTCTACTGTGCTTTTTTGCATCCTCGGGATATATTCCCAGAAGTGATATTGTGGGGTCATCACGGTCACTGTCCTCCCGTTGTTTGATTTTCTCGAGCGGGCCCAGTAACGTTTCCATTGTGAGATTTCTTGTTACTGTGTTTGGCATATCGAATACGTCACGGGGAGCTTGCCAGGCTCTGCCATGCGGGCGAGATACTCTCGGTAGCTTGCCGGGCTTTCCGAGAGGGGCGGAGGAATTGAACTCCAGTCGGCCATGTTGGCTGCATGCAAGGCAAACACCCTACCACTATGCTATCGCTCCAGCCCATTGCGGGGTCATATGGAAGCTCAATTTCTAGTTTTTAAAGGACTGTCCATATTGTTTTCCAGAAAGGCTGGACTAGTGGGCATTCCCACCAATAGTGAGTGTCCCTTTTTCCCCACGTCTATGTCAGCACTGGTTGCTTTTGTTCTTTTGAATGTGTGCCAGTCTCGGTGATGTGAGGTGCTATCTCATTGTTTTGATTTGCATTTACCTGATGGCTAGCGATGTGGTACATTTTTTCATGTGCCTTTTAGCCATTTGTATTTCTTTTTTGAGGAAACTTCTGTTCATTTCTTCTCCCCATTTTTTGATGGGGTTGGAGGTTTTTTTCTTGTACAATTCTACTAGTGTCTTGTATATCCTGGATATTAATTCCTTATCAGATGGGTATTGGGTAAGTATTCTTTCCCATTCTGTGGGCTCTTTCTGTATTTTGGTCACTGTTTCTTTTGAAGTGCAGAAGCTTCTTAGTTTGATGTAGTCCCATTTGTTTATGTTTGCTTCCACTTGCATAGTCAGTGCTGTTTCATCCTCAAAGATGTTTGTAGCTTCAATGTCGTGGAGAGTTCTGCCTACATTTTCCTCTTTGTACCTTATGGATTCATGTCTGATATTGAGGTCTTTAATCCACTTTGATCTGACTTTTGTGCCTGGCATTAGACAGAGGTCAGAGTTCAGTTTTTTGCAGGTAGCTATCCAGTTTTCCCAGCATCATTTGTTTGAAGAGGCTTTCCTTGTTCTACTTCACATTTCTTGCTCTTTTGTCAAAGATAAAGTGGTCATATATTTGAAGGTCTGTGACAGAATATTCAACTCTGTTCCATTGGTCTGCAGTAAAGTACAGTCATTTTTGTCCTTCTTCGTTTGGGCAGCCTAGTTCGGCCTTGAGAGTTTATCAGCCTCTCCTTCCTCATCCTTCTTAATGCTGCCATATTGGTGGTTCTTTCAGGGTCAGAGGAATGAGACCCATTGTATTTATATATCTTTATATATATTTTATATATATATTTATATATTTTCTCTTTTGACTATCTGGTTTGCCTCCAAGAACATAAGCTCTATGACCTCCTTATGGGGTCCTGCTCACCCCACTAACCCAGAACTGCCTGCTACAACAGGCACTCAAAGTTCTAAAAAAAATGCATCTTGGGGCTGGAGCGATAGCACAGTGGGTAGGGGATTTGCCTTGCACGCACCGACCCGGTGTGTGCAAGGCAAATTTCCAGCATCCCATATGGTCCCCCGAGCACCGCCAGGAGTAATTACTGAGTGCATGAGCCAGGAGTAACCCCTGTGTATCGCCAGGTGTGACCCAAAAAGCAAAAATAAATAAATTAAATGAATAAACAAAATTTTAAAAAATGCATCTTACTCAAATTTGGTAAATGAGGCAGGAGCAATAGTACAGTGGGTAGGGCACTCAGCCAACCTGGGACTGATCTTCACCCCTCTCTGCTACCCCAACACCAGAGGGAATCCCTGAGCATACACAGGTGTAGCCCCAAAACAAAATTTAAAAAAAGACAGAAAAAACAAATAAAACTTCATGAATGGCCACATTTAGACAAAAAAAAAAAAAAATACCTGAAGGAAAAAATTCTACTCTAAACTTAAGATTTTAGACAAATAATTGAGTCACTAGAGAAATAAAGTACAAAGCATCAGTGAAAACCCCAAGGCCTGACGAGAAGTTACAGGGAAACGAGGTGGGTCTAGATGTGCTTTTAAAGAGCTTTTGGAATAGCTGAGATCAGCACCAGGAGGATTACTCCATAACTTAGAGGCCAGCCGGGTATCCTAGAGGAAAGGGCAGTTCAGATAGAGAAGGGAGCACCAAATAAAGGATGTTTGGAGGATCCTCCCAGGAGGGGAGATGCATGTCGAAAGTAGACTATGGACTGAACATGTTTGCCACGCAATGCCTCTTTTGCAGACCACAACACCCAAAAGGAGAGAGAGAACACAGGGGATTGCCCTGCCACAGAGACAGGGGGGATGGGGGGATGGGGGTGGGAGGGATATTATCCATGGTGGTGGAAAATGGGCACTGGTGGAGGGATGGGTATCTGATCATTGTATAATTGAAACCAAAGCACAAAAAATTGTAAATCTACAACTTTAAAAAAAATAAAATAAAATAAAGGGAAAAAAAAATAAAGAGCTTTTGGCTTGGGAGCCACACGCAGTGGTGTTCGGGGCTTACTCTTAACTCGGTGCTCAGGAATCACTCCTGGCAGGGCTCAGGGACCATATGGGATGCCCAGGGATCAAGCCCAGACTGGCCACATGCAAGGCAATGCCCAACCCTGGTATTCTCTCTGGCCTAGAGATGCTTTTCCATGCCCTCCAAATGGTGCCGAGCGCTGAAAATGAACACCTGAAGGCCATCTCAAGGACTCAACCTCATACACGTGGCCCCTGAATGGAGCAGCCACCTCGAGAGGCACCTGTCTGTAGCCCCTCACCCCTGGCCAGGCACCTGCCTGTGGCTCCTCGTCCCTTGCTTAGAGACACTGGCTTGACACAAGCTGGAACTGAGTGTTGGAGACTGAGAGAGCAGTGCCATTAGTCAGTGGGACGGAAACAGACAGAAGCGGGATTAATTAGCAAAACTTGTTTATTTCTGCTCCTTTCAGGGACTGGACTGTTCCAGAATGCTCCGCCCACAGCCCCAGGGCACACTGTCACATGGCTCAGGGCAGGCGCAGGCCTCTCTGCTGATGGGCACTTGCACCTGACTTTAGAACTCGTTTGTTTCCCAGAATCAGAAACGGCATCTCCAAAAAAGCATTCCGGGGATTGTAAAAAACCATCACTTTATTCAATAGGACAGCTGCAGAATCAAGTGTGATTTCTTTAAAAAAGGAAAAACTACTGAACACTGTGGGCTGTGGGCAGGGTCGGCAGGAGCCATGACGAGCAAGCGGGGCCCACACCCCGCCAGCCGCCCACCCCTCGCTGCTCTCGCCAGCTGCTTCCCTCTGCTTCCATCCCGTCTTTTTCTCAGAAGATTGGTGCCGCCTTTAAGCTTCATCACAGGAGCAAACCCGGTATCCACTGATTCTTCTCAAGGCACTCTAACCCATCAGGTAACCCCTGGGGAAAACAAATTGGACACAGTGAAAAGCAAGCAAAATTTCCAAGTGCCCTCCAAAATTTCATGATAAAGCAAATCAAATCTTGATCAAACAGGAGATCCTTTGACGCAATGTACAAGGATTTACATCCTGAAACTTCCCCCTCGAGAGACTTGAGTTTGGTTAATAAAGTTTCAAAGAGAGGGAAAGGGAGAGGGAGAGGGAGAGGGAGAGGGAAAGGGAGAGGGAGAGGGAGAGGGAGAGGGAAAGGGAGAGGGAGAGGGAGAGGGAGAGGGAGAGGGAGAGGGAGAGGGAGGAGGAGAGGGAGAGGGAGAGGGAGAGGGAGAGGGAGAGGGAGAGGGAGAGGGAGAGGGAGGAGGAGGAGGAGGAGAAGGAGAAGGAGAAGGAGGAGAAGGAGGAGAGGGACAGGGACAGGGACAGGGACAGGGACAGGGACAGGGACAGGAAGAAGGAGAGGAAGGGATAGAGAGAAGGTAAGTGCCTGCCATAGAGACAGGCTGGGAGGAGGGAGGGTGGTGGGAGGGAAACTGGGGACATTGGTGCTGGGAAATGGACACTGGTGGAGGGATGGGTGTTGAAGCACTGCATCACTGAAACCTGATCATGAACAACTATAATTGTATCTCACTGTGATTCAATTAAAAGGTCAGAACAAAACTCCAGACTCTGAGGAAGTATCTGTCACTATCTGGGCAGTGGAAGACAGCGGACACCCTGAAACAGACCTTAGGGACAGCCTGTCTCCCACAAACAGCACAGGTAGATGTCTCTCTTGACAGATCTCTTCTGAACTGCATCTCCACACAGCTGTGAGTGTCCACGCTGTGTGACCTTCACATGCTATAGCGTGCTACAATCTACATATGTGACTGTCAGCTCCACTCAGATGGAAAAAACTAACTGAAATGGATACGGTTCTTGCTCAACACTTTCAAATATTTAATTTAGTCCCACCTTAGGAAAAACTGTGGGGATACTGAGAAAAATGACAATACCATGGAGCCAGGGTACTAACTCACGTGCCATGGCTGGCACGCGGGAACACCTGAGGGCGACCCCCAGCCCCACGTGGACTGCACGCTGCCAAGGAGGCCCTGGCAGCCACACAAGGCCAAGAGCTCAGCACAGATCGGTCTTTGGCACAGTTCATAAAAAATTAACTCCCTAAGCTGCTCTCTGCTTATTGCTTTCCCGAAGTCACTGCAGCTGCTGTCACTGTCACTGTCAGCCTGTTATTCATCAATTGCCTCGAGCAAGCCCCAGTAACACCTCCTTCATCATAGCCTGGAGATTTTAAAAAGTGCCACATTCAAGGCTCCTTCAGGGTCAGGAGAATGAGACCCATCAATGATACTGTTTTTTGGCATATTGAATATGCCATGGAGAGTTTGCCAGACTCTGCCTTGTGGGCAGGATACTTTTGGTAGCCTGCCAGGTTCTCCAGAGTAAGAACTAGATAATAAGATGTCGCACAGCTGCAAGTGCAGCTGCTGCGAAGGTGCCCAAAGATGAAACCAGAATATAGGGGAATGTGAGCTGCCTGGTCTACATTTCCAATGAATGAGCTCAAGTGGGATTATAACAGTTGCCAAAGAAACCTCTAGGGGCTGCAGAGTTGGTGCAGGAGGTGATACACATGTGACCCATCCCCAGCACTCCAGCCCCCTGGGGACAGACACAGGAACAGCTCTAAACCACTTGCTGGCATCCAAAAAAAGGCTCATTTTTGTTTTTAAAGATACTGTAATCAGGGCCGGAGCAATAGTGCAGCAGGTAGGGCACCTGCCTTGCACACGGCCGGCCTGGGTTCGATCCCCGGCATCCCATGGGGTTCCCCGAGCAGCACAAGGAGTGATTCCTGAGTGCAGGGACAGGAAACCCCTGAGCATCGCTGGGTGTGACCCCAGATACTGTAATCTTTCTGAATCAAATAATTTTCTATATGCCCATAAATAGGAGATCACATGCATTTCTATCTAATGGGCATACATAAAATCTACACAGCTAGAAGCTCGGTTTCCCATCTTTCCCACCTATCCTAAGCCGCTCTGCAGTGCTCGTGGATGACAGGCTGGGCAGGTGTCAGCCATGGATGGGATCTCCCGTCACTATCCCCCACCCCTGGAGGAGGCTGTGACCCTCTCTCCTGGCCACAGCTCAATGTTCTTCAAACTATACCATGACTGCTGGAACCCAACATCGCTGACCAGCCAGAAAGCACTGAAGAATCAACACCCCCAAGCAGGGCTCAGTGATGCTCAAGCAAAATAACCTTCCTCAGGGGTGGGTGTGGTGGGGGATGGTCTCAACCTCACACTCCTAGCCACAACCTCGAGCATATGCACATTTCTTTGGTTCTCAGAATGTTCATCTGTTCAGATGACTACAATGAATGAGTGGTTTTACCAAGATGCAAAAGAAGTGAGCCTAATTACATGAAGTACTTAGTAACTTACGGCAGCTTCATCCTCATGAACACTCGCGCCATGAAAAAACTCAACAGGACACAGACAAAGCCGATGAACAGGAGAAGGAACCTATTGAGCTTTGGAATGTTGGGGGCGTTGGAGCGGTCCAGGATTATGAAGCCTAAACCGCCCATTGTAAACAGGAAGCTGGACGCGAGTCCTTCCATAATATACTGTCCATTTACCCTGAACAAGAACAGACCAGAACAAAATGGTAAGTGAAAAGCGTCTAGAAAAAAAAAAAATTTTAAATTTTACTGAATCACTGTGAGATAGTTACAAGCTTTCATTTTTGGGTTACAATCACACAATGATCGAACACCCATCCCTCCACCAGTGCATTCTCCACCACCAATATCCCTGGTATGCACCCCCTTTCCCATCCTCCCCCCTGCCCCCATGGCAGACATGATTCCTCATAATCTCTCTCTACTTTTGGGCATTGTGGTTTGCAATACAGACCCTTGAAAGGTCATCATGTTTGGTCCTTGATCTACTTTCTGCACACATCTCCCATCCCAACCAATCCTCCCGCCATCTTTTAGAAAAAGATTTTTAAAAACATTTTTTCTTTAGACTTAAGTTCCTATTTCTGCTTATGTCTTATTCCAGCCCTTACAACTACTTCATTAGTATATTCTGAATAGTCACTTTTCATTCAAGAGATCTGTACTACAGGAGGCATTATTTCAGGATCAGGGATACAACAAAGAATAAAGAGACAAAAATCTTTGTCTTTACACACATAATTTTAGGTTTTTTTTTCTTTTGGGGTCACACCCAGCGAGGCACAGGGGTTACTCCTGGCTCTGCACTAAGGAATTACCCATGGCAGTGCTCAGGGGACCATATGGAATGCTGGGAATCAAAACCGGGTCGGCCACGTGCAAAGCAAAAACGCCCTACCCACTGTGCTATCGCTCCAGCCCCAGGAGCTTATTTAAAAAAAAAAAAAAATTTAAAAGCTCACCTCAGTTCATTGTAAAATCAACAGCTGTGTATATTTAGCGGTTATTTCTGTTTTGATCTTGTTTGGGGAAGCCACAGACAGAGAAAGTGTTTAGGGAACCATGGGGTGTCAGGATTAAGCATGGGTCAGCTGTGGGTCAACTACGTACACAGCAAACACCTGCCCGCTTGACCCTCTCCAGCCCCAATACTTGTTTTTGTAGTAACTTCTAGAAGTCATGCTACTTACATTTCTATTATTAGCTGCAAAATAATTTAGAATTATTTTGAAAACTAGAGATGTTTTTTAAAGTTTTAATTGTGGTTTGGGGGGGGGTTTGCGGTGTCAAATTTCAAACCCGAGGCCTATACATGCAAAGCAAAAGCTCTACCACGAACTATATTCATGGCCCTTTCTTAAGGTTCTGTAATAATCAACAACTCTCAGTTCAAAGGGGAAAAAAATCCTCTGGTTTTTGAGACCCACCCCAGGGTCCCACCCCAGTGCTGCAGACAGAGGCGGGTGGGGTGCGGGGTCACACTTGGGGCTCCTGCACGCCCATGTTCCCACCCTGACTTCAAGGGGAAACTGGGAGGGCCCAGAAGTTAGCTTCAAGGCCAGAGAAACTGCTCTGTGGACGGGAGGGGGATAGATCCCTGGCACTGGATGAGACCCCTCGCAGAGCACTAACAATGTGGCCCCAACAGAAAACTCATCAACAGGAAAAACGTTATCAGAAGTTTTCTTAACCAAGGCCCCCAGGAGCTGGAAAAGGATTTCTGGGTATCTGCAAATCCTAATAGTTTTATGTAAACGTTTGTGTTTAAATAGGGAGAGGGAGCGTTCATCAAATACTGAGTTTCCACTTCCCTATTAAAGAGATCAATCATTGACTGTCAGTGTGGAGACAGTGTATCTCTGGCCACTGCTTTCACTGTGCACAAACCTCACCCAGGCTCAAAGTCCTCAGGGCCTCAAGAGATGGGAAAAGCTGCATTTCCGCTCTGGGCGATCCCAAACGTCTCTCCAGGGGCTGGGGAGACAGTTCAGGAGGAAGACCGACTTGCACACATCTGATCCTGGTTCCATCCCCCGCACTGTCTCTTGAGCACTGCCCAGGGGGTCATCCCTGAGCAAGGAGCCAGGAATAGTTCCTGGGCACTGCTGGGGTGTGTCTCCAAGCCACCTCTATCCCTTAATAACATCTTCTCAAGAATATTGTTTGGGGGGCTGGAGCAATAGTACAGCGGGTAGGGTGTTTGCCTTCCACGTAGCCGACCTGAGTTCGATTCCCAGCATCCCATAGGGTCCCCCAAGCACCGCCAGGAGTAATTCTTCAGTGCAGAGCCAGGAGTAACCCATGAACATCGCCGGGTGTGACCCCCCCCCCAAAAAAAAAATATTTTGGCGGACCACTGGCCTTGCCTTGCATGTGGCAAATCTGGGTTCAATTACCTGGTATCCCACAAAGTCCTCTGAGCCCCACAGGAGTGACCTCTGAGCACAGAGCCAGCTGTGGTCCAAAAACCAAAGAAAAGTTCTAGGCATAGGATATCTGCGTATATGCGGGTAACAGGCACGGATGGCACTGGATTGCAGCTACGTTTAAGGACTCTGGTTTCTTTTTGGTTCCTGGGCCACACATGGCAGGGCTCAGGACTCACTCCTGGCAGTGCTCGGGGTGGGGGGCCTACGTGGTGCCGGAATGGAACCCAGGCCAGCTGCGTCCAAGGCAGGTGCCTACCTGCTTTCCCATTACTCTGGGTCCTGGAAGTCTGTTTCCAGGGGGTGGACTTTTGGGGGTGAGGGTGACTCCCAAATGGTGCTCTGGACGCCCAGGAGTCTTTCCAGCAGAGTATGGCCAACCAGGCAGGTGCTCAGATGATGTCTCAAAGATGCAGTGCTGGGGACACCCCGGCAGTGCCCAGGATGTGAGGGACCAAGGGGTGCCATGGATGAAACCAGGTCAGCCACAGCGAGGCAGAGTGAGCCTGAACCCCTGTACAATGAGGCACTCGGCCCTCCACGGTCTGCAGGCCACACCAGTGGGGCGAGGGCTGGCTCCCAGTTCTGTGCTCAGAAGCCATTCTGGACAGTTTTCAGGCGACTGTACAGTGCCAGGAATTGAACCAGGGTCCAAACCAGGGAGTGCCGCACACAAGGCAAGCCCGCTCCTCCCTGTATTCTCCCCATGGCCCCTTGAAAACGTCTTTAAAAGAAAAGCATGGCTTAGGCAAACCGAACTACAATGGAAACAGTGTTTGGTTCCAAAATTATCGAGTAGCCAAGTCTCAAAAATTATTATTTGGGGCAGGAGTCATAGTACAGCAAGTAAGGCATTTGCCTTGCACATGGCTGACCTGGGTTCGATTCCCAGTATCCCATATGGTCCCTGAGCACCACCAGGAGTGATTTCCGAGTGCAGAGCCAGGAGGAAGCCCTGAGCATCGCCGGGTGAGACCCAAAAAACCAAAACCAAAACAAATTATTCTTATTTAATACTGTGGTTCAGGTGAAATTTATTTTTTCCATTTTAAAATCCCACAGTGCCAGGAACTGAACCATAGGTCTCATACATGCAATCCAAACTTTTTCTTTTCTTTGTTTTCAGACTATACCCGGTGGCGTTCAGGGGTTACACCCGCTCAGTACTTAGAGATTTTTCCTGGCAGTGCTTGGGGTAGGTACCACCCAGTGCTGAGGACTGAACCCAGGACAAAGAATATAATGCCACTGGCCTTATGAGACTGATGACTACTCTAAATAGGTGATTATGTCAAGCATGGTGAAATATTTTATTCCCAAATGACTTACATACGCTTGTTCAATCAATTTCTGTTACCTCTGAAATTACCATTTTAAAACAGCTATTGATGAAATACAGATAGACCCATGTTTCACTATGGTTTAAAATATGCAGTTATAGGGAGTATGGTGCCGTCAGCAGATTATGGGGGGTATCTGTACCTATGAGGCGAGTGCATCAGCAGCCTGATGGTGCCTTTAGACTTCAGATACCCCAAAATTGCTGTTGTGTCTTTGGCCAGACCCCAAAAACTTGGGGCAAAGTTTACCAAGGAAGTAAACGGCCAAAAGTTAGTATGTGGGAGACACACCCACAAACCACCTCTGGCTCAGCTATATAATTGGAGGCATGGCCTCTCTGGTTTCTGATTGAACTGCTTAATGGCCATGATCCCAGAGACTCAGAAACAAATCTCAGAACCCAACAGCTTTTGGAAGAAATGCGTCTGGATCGCGCAGTAGGTTACTGTCACTGGGCCACCCCAGCGGGGGAAGGGTGCTGTCCTTCCACCTGCTCCCCTTGGCGGCTCAGTGGCTGCCATCCGCCAGAGGCCATTGGACAGTCAGGTTTGGGCCCACAGTGACGAGACAGGCGGTGCCGCACAGCACAGGATGGGGGTGGAGTTGGCCCTTTCCTTCCCGTCACAATGAGAATCTGAGTCGCAGCCCACGAAAAGCCTATTTGGCTCCTGATCAAGCTGCTTAATGGCCATGATCCCAGAGACTCAGAAACAAATCTCAGAACCCAGTGGCTTTTGGCAGAAATGCTTCCAGTCCCTGTAGTAGGTTACCGGTGATGGGCCACCCCAGCTGGGAATAGGTTTCGTGCCTTGACCTGTTCCTCCTGGCAGCCCGGTGGCCGCCATCTTCCAGAGGCCACTGGACGAAAAATGCGGGGCCTCACAGGATGGGGGTGGAGCCGCCCTTTCCTCCCCACCCCAACGAGACCCCGAGACACCACCCACAAATGGCCTCTCTGGCTCCTGATCAAGCTGCTTAACAGCCATGATCCCAGAGACTCAGGAACAAATCTCGGAACCCAGCAGGTTTTGGCAAGAAATTCCTCAGATTTAATTGTTAAAATTTTGAAATTTCAAAATCACACTGCCACTACTGCAGCCATGCGACATCATATGTTATTCATAACCAGCAATAGAAAACAAATTGTCTACTGTTGCCTTTTTGGCAGATCTGAGTGTTTGGGTAAAATCCCAAATAATAATGGTGCGTCTGGTGTCAAAATACTGAATGTGTAATCAAAGTAGAGAGAAATTTGGAAATCATCTGCCCCATAGGTAGGGGGAGGGTGTGGAGTGGGGGTATACTGGGGTTTTTAGTGGTGGAGAATGGGCACTGGTGAAAGTACGGGTGTTTCATTGTATGAACTGAGACTTAAACCCGAAATCTTTGTAACTGCTCTCACAGTGATTCAATAAGAAAATTATAAAAAATGGGGAAAAAAAAGTAAGGTGGAGTTCATGCACAATTCAATCAGCCTAATCAGTGGCTGAATAAATAGCAGTACTCCTACATAAAAAAATAAATAAAATAAAATAAAAGATGCAGTGATATCCTTCTCTACCACCGCCAAATTGCTCAAGAACTATCTCTTACCTGTAGGCCAAGAAAGCTACTGGTCTCTGGTGCCCGTGTTCATCGGTCATAGAGCCTACACTTGGAGGTTCAACAATAACATCATATATTATTCCTGTCCAAAAAAAAAACAGATTAGATGGGATTCACAACTTTTTAAAATACGACTTGTTCCCCCCCTCCACCTAAAAGTTCATTAGTATTTAAATAGGACCACTCTGATTAGAACATTAACAGGTGTAATCTTAAAAGGAACATAACCAATGGCCATTACTCTACCTTTTTTTGGAGGGGAACATGCAACTCTCTCTGACCCCTAGAACTGTTTTTGAAAGATTAAAAACTAAAAAAATGTACTTTATACAGGTATCACTCAAAAGATATGGAAATGATCCCCCATAAAATCTCCCCCTTAAGGGCTAGAGCAATAGCACAGCGGGTAGGGCATTTGCCTTGCGCGCGGCCGACCCAGGTTCGATTCCCAGCATCCCATGTGGTCCCCCAAGCACCGCCAGGAGTGATTCCTGAGTGCAAAGCCAGGAGTAACCCCCGAGCATCACCGGGTGTGACCCAAAAAGCAAAAAAAAAACCTCCCCCTTAGTACTGAATTGTTACCTGTATCTAACTTATAAATTAAATTTCCTTATAAATTAAAAGGAGAGAGTGAGCATGATGCTTTCCTGGACTCTGGTTTAAAAATTCCTACTTTGGGGGACAGGGAGATAGTGTGGTGAGCAGGGCATGTGCCTTGTGTGAGCAGGAATGGGTTTAATCCCCGGCTTCCTGTCTACTCCCCAGAGCATTGCCAGCAGTAACTCCTGAGATGGCTGGGTGTGGCCCCCAACAAAAAGCAAACAAAAAGAATTCCTACTTTTAAGTCCTGGCGTTGAGCAGAGGACATAGCTCAGTGGCAGAACACTCGTCTTGCATGATTGCAGTGTGCCCATGACATCTGTGTCAACACCCATCAGATAACGTAAATGCTAATAAAATTTGATTTTTTGTTTAAAGTTTCTGGGTCGCACCCAGTGGTGGTCAGGGATTATTCCTGATGTGGCCCAGGGGGATCTTACGTGGAGCCAAGAATCGAATGCAGGTCAGGGGTCTGCAAGGCAAGTGCTCTACCCACTGGACTATCTCTCTGGCCCTCAGCACTGTTAGAATTGGACATAAGCTCCTTAAGAAAAAGAACACAGGGGCTGAAGCAATAGCACAGTGGCTGGGGTGTTTGCCTTGCATGTGGCCAACCCCGGTACCATCCCCAGCATCCCATACGGTCCCCCAAGCACTGTCAGGAGAAATTCCTGAATGCAGAGCCAGGAGTAACCCCTGAGCATCGCTGGGTGTGCCCCCCCCCCAAAAAAAAAGAACAAGGACACAGAGTCCACAGAGGCCAACGCTGAACAAGAACCTGATCCAACCATCCACCAGCTTCACACAGACCAGTTTTTCTCAACTCCAAACTCCTACCAGCAGCATCTCCCAGGAGTTGGCCACATCCACTTTATAGTCTTTGTCACTGTTACTTTGTTTGGGGGGCCACACCTGGCAGTGCTCGGGGACTTATCCTGGTGAAGCTGGGGGCGGCCACATGTGGGACCAGGGTCTGAGCCTGGGACAGCAGCAGCCAGGATGGGCCTTCGTTCCATGCTGCCTCCTGGGTCCCCATCTGATGTTCTCAGGTGATCTCAAGTTCACTCCCTGCCCCAAAAGCTTCCTGTCTTCCGTCTCAGAAAATGAACCTCCACTTTCTCAGAGGCCTGAAGCAGACGCCTTTGGCCTCCTGCGCTCACACTTGGCCTTCCTCCTGCATGCCACCCACCCAGACCCAGAGGACCCACTGCCACCGTGTCTCTCTCTGCATCCCCTGCATCTCCTCCTGGCCCAGTCTGGGTGGCGATGAAGGTTCCTCTCCCTCCGGAGCCTCGCCTAGCTCCCGCGCCTCTCTCCCAGCCCTGGGAGCTGGACCCTGCCCCTTCCTCAGGATGCTGCACTCAGGTGACCGCTACTCCAGTCCCCACGGTCCTCTCAGAGCTTCTTGTTCTTCTCCTCCTAGACTCGTGGCTCTTAGTGTGGGGAACCGTGATTTACTGGGGTGGGGGGGAAGAATGTCTGTGATGTTTCTCCGTGACAGCCTAAGCTTCGGGGAGCTGGGTCCCCACCTTCCTCTGTCCGCAGCTGTCCACTGCTGCCGTTGGAACTTCAGAGACTGGCGCTCGGCCCTTCTCTGCTGAATCTTTCTCAGCCATAAATATTTATTTATCGATGAAAGCAAATTCAGGGGTTTGGGAAGAGACTCCGTTGCAGGGCAACCTGCTCCCCTGCAGGGGCAGATCTCACAAGGGCTGGCCACTGAAAGGTGTCCCTGGCCACTTCCCCACCGGCGGACACTATCTGCCCATCACAAGCACCAGTGGGGTTGGGATGGGGGGAAAGTCCCCAGCATGAAAACCCTGGCAGCGTCCGGACAAGCCTGAGTGGCCCTAAGGGTGCCCGCGCAGGGATGCGATGCTCTTCCTTCCCCAGGCGCCAGGGTTTGTTTGCAACGCCCGGGGAGCCCTCAATAGGCGCTGACCAAGGGCGAAGGCCCCGGGGGCGCTGCCGGGGGTCGGGTTCGCCTCCTGCCTGTGGACTCCGGCTGCAATTCCTCCCCGGGCGCCCACTCTGGGTGGGGAGGCAGGGCAGAATGAGAAAAGGGGGTGCTTTCTGCAACGAAGCCCCTCCCGACCCCAGACCCACCACTGGGCAGCCACTGGGCATCCCGCTGGGCACCCCCGGGCTGCGCTGCCAGGAGGGCGTGGGGCCCGGGGTGCAGCCCGGCTACCACCTCACCCCTGCACCAGTACGGGTCTAGCCACGCCGGAGGGAGGCCAGCCTCTGCACCCCGCGCCTGCAGCCCACCTCCCGACCCCCAGACCCCCTTTTGAGGATAGGGAAGGCGATCCCGGCCGTTCCTGAGGTCGCCGCGGTGAGAGGATGCGTCCCCCGGGCGGGTGGGAACCCCCCGCTGCCCCCCAGACTCCCCCGGCTGCCCCCGGTCGCCCCGCACCTCCGGTGATGAGGAAGTAGGACACCACCACCAACGCGTACACCGTCATAGCCGACGGCATGTGCACCCAGGGCGGCTTCTTGAGCTTCAGGTTGGGGCACTCGAGCACCAGGAACGGGACCCGGTAAAGAGTCTCCATGGCGGCGCCGGCCCGGGAAGCGCTCGGCCTCCCGCCCCGCTGGCCCCGGCACACTGCCCGGAAGCCGCGCCGGCGCGCCGCCGGCGCGCATGCGCGGCGCCGAGACCGCCCCCTCTTGGGTCCGCCACGCTTAGAAAAGACGCAGGGCCACAAGGGAAATTAAAATCAAGGAGCAGCTCCGGAAAATGAATCCTTGATATGGTTTTAATAAAGTTATTATTTTATATTCTTCATCGTAAGTCTGGTAAGGAAGCGTCCTACTGCTCATGGAGAAAGTGCTTTCTTACACACCTTCCAGGGCCCGCCTCCCTTCGGACGTGGCCTATCCCGAGAGGCGGAGGGGCCCACCGAGCCCCGCCCATGTGCGCCTGGAACCTGATTGGACCCGGAACCTTCTGGGTACCTGAGTTGCGGGATGAATGAGCTCGGGGCTCTGGCTGCCTTTGCCCAGCGCAGGTGGGTTTGGGTGGTGTTGATTTTTTTTCTTTCTTTTTTTTCCCATAATTTTATTTATTTATTTTTTTCTTCTTATATTTATTTATTGAATCACTGTGGGAAAAGTTATAAAGCTTTCAGGCTTAAGTTTCGGTCATAAAAACACCTTTCCCTTCATCAGTACTCATTTTTCACCACCATGAACCCTAATATACCCCCCTCCCACCCCTCCCAATGCCTGTGAGACAGATGATTTCTACTTAACTTTTCTCTACATTGATTACATTCATTATTTTGCCAAAAGATGCACCATTATTGTTTAGAATTTCCCCCCCAACAATCAGAATTGCTGAAAAGGCATTGTGAAATACTTTGTTTTCTATAGCTGGTTATGAGAGTCATATAATGATTTTGGATTTCCTGAATGCAGAGCCAGAAAATTATGAGATTGGTTTCTGTGCGTCTGGTGTTATGGCTGTGCCATAGAGCCACTCGTGGGGGGCAACTCGTGACTTCAGTTGGGCGTGAAGGACAAGCCGGTACCACCCCCCTTCCCATGAGACTGCAGTTGCCCCATCACCGCCGGCTAATACCTGGCTTTCCTATAAGCTCTGAGGCGGTGGCCACCTTTTATGCAGTCCAGATGCATTTCTGCCAAAAGCCGCTGGGTTTCGAGATTTGTTTCTGAGTCTCTGGGATCATAGCCGTTAATCAGCTTGATCAGGAGCCAGAGAGGCCATTTGTAGGCAGCGACTCAGGGTCTCATTGGGATGGGGAGGAACGGGCCAGCTCCACCCCCATCCTGTGAGGCCCCACATGTCTCATCACTGCAGGCCCAAACCTGACAGTCCAGTGGCCTCTGGAGGATGGCGGTCACCAGGCCTCCAGGGGGAACAGGCCAAGGCACGGAACCTATTCCAACCTGGAGTGGCCCAGTGCCAATAACCTACTGCAGGAACAGGACGCATTTCTGCCAAAAGCCTTTGGGTTCTGAGATTCGTTTCTGAGTCTCTGAGATCATGGCAGTTAAGCAGTTCGATCAGGAACCAGAGGGGCCATGCTTCCAATTATATAGCTGAGCCAGAGGTGGTTTGTGGGTGTGTCTCCCACATACCTGACTTTTGGCCGTTTACTTTCTTGGTAAACTTTGCCCCAAGTTTTTGGGGTCTGGCCAAAGGCACAGCAGCAATTTTGGGGTATCTGATAGTCTGACGGTGCCATCAGGCTGCTGATGCACTTGCCTCACAGGTACAGATTGACCTGCTGGCAGCACCATACCCCCAACATGTTCTAGGTTTCTGAGCTCTTAGTTTCCGATGTCATCGTACTGATGATAATGGTAATAATTGTTATTAATAATTTGGGGGAGGGGGCGGTTTCACACCTGACGATGCTCAGGGAACCTTAAGTGGTGCAGGGGGTTGAACCCAAGTCAGCAGCATGCAAGGCAAGCATCTGACTCGCCGTGCTGTCCTCCGGCCCCTCCTATTAAACCTTAATGGCCAGAGACCAACAGATCGTTCTGGCAATACTATAGAGAATCTCTGAATGTGCCAATTCTCTCGGTCCACCACTGTCCTCTACTGATGACTTCTCATGGGCTGCGTTTACAATCCAAGTGTAAGAAAATGTAGAATAAAGATTTAGTCTTTAGGGTTGGACAGGAAGACCTAAAAGCTTATTGCTTTTTGTTTATTTTTAATATATTTTTTTCCTCTCTTCTTTTTCTATAACCTCTTAAGATTTGGCAAATGTCAGTTTCCTTTTGGAGAAAGAATTGAAAGTGACTGATTATATAAATCCATCCATATTAAGACAAAAGTATCTTTATTGCTAAACCAAATCTTAAAAGTTTCCTGGTGACTTATGGACACTGGTGGAGGGATGGGTATTTGATCATTGTATAATTGAAACCCAAGCACAAAACTTTGTAAGTCTACAACTGAACCTCATGGTGTTTCACTAATAAAAATTTAAAAAAAAAGTTTCCTGGTATTCTAGGGGTCAAACTCAGATCTTCATATTTGTAAAGGTGTAAGTTAACCACTAAACCACATCTCTGATCCTTAAAAAAAATATTGTTTCTGAGACCAGAGCTTTGTACTTGAGTGCGTGAATTGATTCTGCACTTAGAGTTTAGTGTCTAACATTTGTATTTGTTGACACACTCAGCAGGGTTCAGGACTTACTCCCTGCTCTGTGCTCGGTGGAGCAATCATTCCTGGTGGTGCTCTGGAGACCATTTATGATGCCAGGCCTAGAAACAGGATTGGCAGCCTGTGAGATAAGTGCCTTAACCCCGGTGCTGTCTTCCCAGCCTTTTGTCCAAGGGCTGGACCAAGCAGGATTCTAAGTTCCCAGCCTAGTTTCCTGGAACTGCAAGAGGAGAGTCAGGAACTACAGGCGTCACGCAGTGCTCCAGAGGAGGCCACACACAGGTCAGGGGCTCCGGGTTCCCAGCCACACACACGCAGGCTGCCTCAGATACACGGCACCCCCACACCTGCCTGGCACTCAGTGAGATGCAGGGAGACTGCCGTCCTGCACAGGGTTTTGCTTGGAAGAATCACAGACATCCTTGTGAACTGAGGTTCCCCAAGGCCTGGTGTAACTTGAGCTCTCTTCTCCCTCAAAAATGCCCGCTGATACCCACCAAGTTATGCTGTGAATTGGGGTAACAGTAGAGTTAAGAGTGGGAAGGGGGGGCTGGAGTGATAGCACAGTGGGTAGGGCATTTGCCTTACACATGTCCAACCCGGGTTTGATTCCCAGCATCCCATATGGTTCCCCAAGCACTGCCAGGAGTAACTCCTGAGTGCAAAGCCAGGAGTAACCCCTCAGCATCACTAGTTGTCGCCCCCCCCCCCCCAAGAAAAAAAAGAGTAGGAAGGGTCTGGAGACATAGGACAGTGGAGAGAGCTCTTGCCTTGCATGTGGCCAGTTCAGGTCTGAATCCCCAGCACCCTATATGGTCCCCCAAGCCTGCCTGCAGTGATCCCTGAATGCAGAACCAGGAGTAAGTCCTGAGCACCACTGGAAGGCCACCCCCAACCCCAATAAAAAGAGGGTGTGGTAATACTGGAACATTTGCATGCATGAAACATTATTACCCATGTTGTAAATCACGGTGCTTAATTTTTTGTGTGTGTGTGAGAGAGAAGGGCCTGGAGAGATTGTACAGGGGTTTAGGCTCTTGCCTCACATGCAGCCAGCCCTGGTTCAATTCTGGCAACATACAGGTTGCCCTGAGCATTGCCAGGAGTGATACCTGAACACAGACTCAGAAGTGAGCCCTGAGCATCGCCAGGTGTGGCCCATTCCCGCACCTCACCCACAAAAGGGCCGAGAGCGAACGATGGGCACCTCAGGCCTCAGCCTCCTGATGAGAAGCTGCAGCGAGGGAGGAGCGGTGAGATGGGGGCCTGAGAGGGCTCACGGCGTACAGTGACCAGCAAGTCCAAGGGAGCACGACTGCCCGGAGCCCTGGATCTGACAGCCAACGTGTTCCCAGGAGAGCCAGCAGGTGTGGTTCTGTGCTCCGAGTTAGGACAATGGGCTGTGGCTCTGACCATGGCACCGTGACCGTTGCTGTGTTTAGTGAATTGGTCCATTCATCTCAGCAGCTCCTTGACAGACGGGAGAGGTGGATGGAAATGGAAAAGAGAAGAATAGCGAGGGGCGAGGAGACGGTGTATGCCGAGACCCCAAGCTTAAACCCCACCCCAGCACTGCGGTGTAAGGTCCTGGCCCGAGCAAGCTCACTGCCCGAAGCTGAGAGGTGGAAAGAGAGGTGTAGCTTGCTTGGGAAAACGGGAGAGAGGCGGGTGGGAAGACCTGGCCATCCTGGGAAGAAACAGGAGCTAACGGGGAGGCCCAAGGCCTGATGCCCGCTCTGACTCACCCCGCTCTTCAGAGAAGCTGGAGACTTGCTGAAGTGTCAGCCCCAGCCTGAGTTTCCCAAGGGTGGAAAGGGGAGTTTCTTTATTTCTTTCTGTTTTGTTAAATCACTTTGAGATAGACCCTTACAAGCTGTTCACTTTGTAAGGTTTCACTCATACAGTGTTCAACCAGTGTACGTTTGCCACAAGCACCAGTGTCCCCAGTGGCCCTCCCATTACCCCCACCCCTCCCCCAGTCTGTCTCTATGGCAGGCACTTCTCTCTCTCTCTCTCTCTCTCTCTCTCTCTCTCTCTCTCTCTCTCTCTCTCTCTCTTTCTCTCCCCTTCTGGGCATTGTGGTTTGCAATACAGATACTGAAAGGTTGTTGTACCTTTTCCTACTTGCAACACTCAGTTCTTGGTCAGCTTGATTATTTCCAACTTGGAGAAGGGAGTTAGAAGTTTGTTCCTGGAACCACAGCAGTAGTTGCAAGCAGCCAAGGCAGGTTTGATCCTGGGCATCCCATATGCTCCCCCGAACACTGCTAGGAGTAACCCCTGAGCATCACCAGGTGTGACCCTCCACCCCCCTGCCAAAGAAGATCGTGCCTGATGGGCTTTAGATGTGTTGGCCAGAGCAAGAGGCAGACGCTCCCACTGCAGTGAGGCCTGGGCCCGTGAGGCTGGAGGAAGCAGGTGTTTGTTTGGGGGCCACACCCAGCATTTCATGGGGGCTTGCCCCCAGTGTGCTAAAGGAACTGTGCTGTGC